ATACAGAATTTGACCAGGTTAAAGTCCAGATCCTCGGCAAAGAGGAGACGCCATCACTCAATGAAATCATTTCTCTCATTCGAGCAGAAGAAAGCCGACGAGGAGTGATGTTAGAACCAAAGACCGTTGAAAGTTCAGCAATGGTGGTGAACAAAGAATCGTCATGGAAGGAAAAAGTTAAAGATTCTTTAAAATTCAAAGACAATGACTCACTTTGGTGCAGTTATTATAAAAAGTCAAGACACATAAATGAAACATGCTGGAAAATATGTGGAAAATCCCCCAGCAAGGAGTGGAATCAAAAAGGTGAAACAAGGAGCACATCACATGCCAATAACACTACTAGTAAGCCAGAAGCACAGTCAAACATTGGAGAATTCAATAAAGAAGATATTGATAAATTGAAGCGACTCCTGATATCTCTTGAAAAACCAAATGCTTCTTCTTCACTTGCACTCTCAGGTTAAGAATTCAATTTCTATTAGTTTAAGTGCTTCCAGAAATCATTTAAAGGAATTATGGATCATTGATTCATGAGCCACATACCACATGACCCACTCACCTACCCGCCTCATAAACTATACTCCTTGCCCAAACAACAAGAAAATCATCACTGATGGTTCTCTTATCACGGTAACTGGCCAAGGAGACATAATATTATCTCCCTCACTCACCCTAAAAAATGTGCTCCACGTACCATAAATATCCACAAATCTAATATCAATACAAAAACTTACAATGACTATAATTGTCAAGCCTTATTTAACCCTACTTATTGCTTATTTCAGGACCAGAGATCGGGGAAGAAGATTGGACTTACTAAGGAGAAAGCAGGATTGTACTACCTGGAAGAACCAAACCAATCTAAAAATAGTTGATCTATGTTATCCCTAGATAGGAATTCCACTATTTGGCTTCATCATTATAGACTAGGACACCCATCTTTTGATGTCCTAAGATATATGTATCCTCAACTTTTCCAGAAATTTGAAAAAAAAAATTTTCATTGTGAAACTTGTGAGTTGGCTAAACATAAAAGAACCTCATTCCCAAACAAAAGTGAGAGTTGTGATACTCTTTCTACCTTATTCTTAGTGATATATGGGGACCCTAAAAAATTCTCAATATCTATGGGGGGCGCTGATTTGTGTCATTCATTGATGATTGCACTAGAGTCTCTTGGATCTATCTCCTTAAAAATAAATCGATGTTAGCACCATTCTTTTCATCTTTCATTCCATGATCAAAAATCATTTCGGGATAAAAATAAGGAGATTCCGCTCCGATAATGCCAAAGATTATTTCAACCAAACTATTTCCTTCTACTTCCAGAGTGAAGGGGTCATCCATGAGTTCTACTGTGTTCACACCCCACAACAAAATGGGATCGCATAGAGAAAAAAATGGTCACCTTCTAGCCTCCACCCGAGCTTTCGTATTTCACTACAATACACCCAAATCCTATTGGGGGAAGCTCTTTTAACTACAGCTTATCTCATAAACCGACTACCTTCAATTGTCTTAGGACTCAAAATTCCAATGGAAACTTTGTCCTCCTTTTACCCCGAGTTTCGAACCCATCATAATCTTACGCCCAAAATCTTTGGATGCACTGCCTATGTTCATATTCACAGCCAGGAGAGAGGAAAATTAGATTAAAGAGCACTCAAATGCATCTTTGTTGTCTATTTAGCTACCCAAAAGGGTTATAAGTGTTATCATCCACCCACAAGAAAAATCCTTTTCTCTATTGATGTTACCTTTGATGAACAAAATTCCTATTTTTCAAAATCTCATCTTCAGGGAGAGACTGAACTTGAGGAAGATAAGGAAAATGAACTGACACCTCTTGACCTTCCTCTATCTCCTCAAACCAATCCACCTGAAACTCAAGATAGAGAAACAAATGACAAAGCTATCATTAGATTTGGAAATGTTTACTCCAGACGTACAAGCTCAAGCTGTGCTCCAAAGCAGATCTAAGAATCTGAACCATCTCCTGGAAATAAGATAAGCTCACCACCTCCCTTATACTCTATAAATAACTCTATATCCTTCAACTTCTCATCGTCAAACAAAAATTTCCTAGTTACATTAGAAGATATCCATATTCGTAAAAATATTTTTGAGGCCTTATTTGATAAAAAATGAAAAATGTCATGAAGGATGAAATGCAGGCCCTAGAAAAGAACAAAACATGGGAGATCGTCAATCTACCGATAAGAAAGAAATCGGTCGGCTGCAAATGGGTGTTTTTAGTAAAATACAAAGCTGATGGCACACTAGAGAGATGCAAGACTGGTGGCAAAAGGATTCACTCAAACGTATGACATTGACTACCAAGAAACGTTTACGCTTGTAGCCAAGATGAATATTGTCAGAATACTACTCTCACTAGCAGCCAAGTACAACTGGCATCTGGAACAATTGGATGTGAAAAATGTATTCCTGCATGGGGATTTAGAAGAAGAGATATTTATGAAAATACCACTAGGGTTTAAAGAAAAATCTGAAGGTAACAGGGTGTGCATATTGAAAAAGGCTCTATATGGGCTCAAACAATCACCAAGGGCCTGGTTCGGAAGATTATCTAAATTCATGCTCCTTAATGGGTATCGAAAAAGTCAAGGGAATCATATATTATTCTTTAAACACTCAGACTTAGGGGGAGTCACAATCTTATTGGTGTATGTTGATGATATTATTGTGACTAGAAACAATGAAGAGGAGAAAATTAGTTTAAGGAAAAGTCTTACTAAAGAATTTGACATCAAAGAATTTGGTAGACTAAAATACTTTCTCGAAATTGAAGTAGCTCACTCCAGCAAGGGAATCTTCATTTCACAACAGAAATACATCAAAGATCTTCTAAAAGAAACAAGTAAACTAACTTTTAAACCAGCACCGACACCAGTAGAACCTAATCTAAAATTGGGGGAGGCTAAAGAAGATCCATATGTAGATAAAGGGGCCTACCAGAGACTTGTAGGGAAATTGATCTACCTCTCCCACACTAGACCAGACGTAGCATTTGCTGTAAGCATGGTCAGTTAGTTTATGCAGAATTCAAAACAGATTCACATGCAAGCAGTAGACAGGATATTGCAGTACCTTAAAGGAAAACCAGGAAAATGGATTTTCTTTAAAAGAGATCGCGGAATAACTCTAGAAGTATACACGGATGCTGACTACGCAGGATCACCGATTGATAGAAGATCTACCTTTGGATTTTGCACATTTCTTGGAGGTAACTTAGTTACATGGAGAAGCAAGAAATAGAATGTGGTGGCAAGATCCAGTGCAGAAGCAGAATATCGAGCTATGACCTTGGGAATATGTGAGTTACTATAGATCAAAATAATCCTAGAAGACTTAAAGGTTAAGTGGGATGAACCCATGAAGCTACATTGCGATAACAAATCAGCAATCAGCATAGCCCATAATCCAGTCCAGCATGACAGGACCAAGCACATAGAAGTGGACATACATTTCATTAAAGAAAAACTAGACAGTGGTCTAGTAAATGTCGACCATGTATCATCAAAGGATCAACTTGCAGATATCCTTACCAAAGGATTGGACAGTTCTGCCTTTCTTAGAATGATTGACAAGCTGGGAATGATAGATCCATATTTCCCAGCTTGAGGGGGAGTGTTGAAATCCAGCTGTTCCTAGTGCAAAGAATACGACAGACACAAAGATCAATCCGTGGGATGCTCTCATGGATCACGCCATAATAAAGGAACAAATTTAGGAAAGATTTTGTAATTTATTATTTCCTCATTAGGATATCTTGTATAGATCTATAAATGGGGAAGATAATAACGAATAAAGTTAAGTTTTTTCCCTCTCGTACCTCTCAAATTAACAATAACTCTAAAAAAAATTATTTATTTGAGTTAAATTATGGGCTATTATAAGGTCTAAGTAGCTAACTAATGTATATGGGTTTTCCTAAAGTAGGTAACTCAATGTGTGGGCTAGCTCAAGATAGTCAAACTTGAAGCAGCTTGGTCTTGGTTATATGGTTCTTGAAGAGTCTCCTGGAATGTTGTTGGACCCGAAAACCTCTCTCATTCTATTATCTACATTTTATGTGATCCTTTTGAAACTTTGGTGTCCTTTGTTTTAAAAGGGGGCCTATAAATGTGGAACTGTTGCAAGGTTCATACTCAACAGAAGCGAAGTAAATAAACTGTAAGATCAACCCAAGATATCACATGATTTGGGCGTAGCCTACATGTGTATAGGGGCTTAGAATCAATCCATTAGTAAGAAGCTAAACTTAGTAAATTGATACAGGCACAGGATAACGTTCCCCCCAAAGTGAAATATGCCTACTCTCATCAGATTATTAACCTCAGATCTTTTAATGCAAATCTAGTAGATACTCCCCGCTCTCTTGTAAACACAAGAATACAAAAAGTGATAAATATCAAAATGATCAGCCTGACTACAAATTACATTATCACGGAATATTTTGTCACTTTGGTAGTCCTTACGGACTTCACATTTGAAAGGAATATGCATGCTTATGTTATTAAAAACATATTAAATATTATAATCTTCTTATATATAGGTTGTTTAGACCTTGTGCCCAAACTTTTTGGATGTTGTGATTTAAGTTGTTGGAGAAAATTGTTATCTTATAGAATGTCCAACTTATTACCTATCCTACATGATTTTTCATCTTGAGATATTGTTTGTCAAGTAATATTTATCATAATGTTTAGTTTAAAAGTTTGCAAATCCTCTTTGAATCTTTATTAAAAAAAGGTTCAAAATATTGGATGGAAACATGTCCAGTTCTTGAGTTTTAAATAGTTAACTTGATTAGTATCTTTCTGATGCAATTTTAAGAGCATTTTTTTATCTCCAAATATTGGTAATGATACTGCAGCTAGTTTTTACTCAAGGTTTGTCTTCTCTTACTACCTGTGATGGGATAATATGAATGCGCCGTGTTTTTGCAGATGATTTGCTAACGTGATCTTTGGCAGGTCATCTTCATTAAAGTTATCCGCAATAAACAGACAGGAAAGTCAGAAGGATATGGTTTCGTTGAATTTTTTACTCATGCGGCAGCTGATAAAGTAATTCAAACATTCACTGGCCATTTGATGCCTAACAGTGATCAACCTTTTAGGCTAAATTGGGCCTCATTTAGTACTGGTGATAGGCGTTCCGAATTAGCTTCTGGTCACTCTATTTTTGTAGGCGATCTTGCTCCTGATGTTACAGATTCTTTGCTTCAAGAAACTTTTTCTACCAAATACTCCTCTATAAAAGGTGCAAAAGTTGTCATTGATGCTAACACTGGCCGTTCAAAAGGATATGGCTTTGTTAGATTTGGAGATGATAATGAGAAAGCTCTTGCTATGACTGAGATGAATGGCGTTTATTGCTCAAGCAGGCCCATGCGCATTTGTGCTGCAACTCCAAGAAAATTATCTGGTATGTCTTAAGGTGGTTGCCATTCTATATTGTTTAATTAAGTTTATGTGTGCTATGGCTTGATCTGGCTTGATCCGTTGCACTAATTGTTTTGCATAATAATTCTCTTATTTTGTCACGCAAAAGAAAGTTTTTGTTCTCTTATCTGGTTGCATTAAAAGTAGATTTTTGTTTTTGGCACTAGTCCTTTTGTGGGTTTATGTGATAAGTATATACTGAACACTTTTAGTTGTGATGTATTGCATTTGATTTTGCTATGAGTATTTTTCATGTTCATGTATGGTACTTATGCGTGTTGACCAACGACACACATAACCCACTAACCTAACTCCTCATAACCGCTCACAACACTCATACATGCTAAAGAACCGCAGATGGAACTGCCTGTCTCTCTCTAGTTCTCCATTTGCCACACACAGGAGCCTTGACAAAAATACCCCTATCGCTCTCTCTTTGACTCATGCAGAAACCATGATAGGCGAGATCCTAGCCCTCCCGTCCTCTCCATACTGCATGAGACCCCAACCCTCCTAAAGCCCAGCCTTCGACGCTCTCTCGCTCTATCTTCAGACACCCAAACCAAGCCCACGCTACTCGCGACTGTAAACCCGATGCCAGTGTCAGATCGCAGGTCCAATCATCGGCCCGCTCTCACCATCTTCTTCTTGTGCTCGAGCCCAGCCTAGTGACCCTAGTGCGACCCTACCTTAGACGTTAGTCCAACCAATCAACCTACCCGCTCAAGCTGATGCCAGTCCCGTTCTAATCCTGCAACCACACGCAGGAGCCGCACCTGACCCCGCTCGTCCCGCTCCCGTGATCCATCCTCACGCTCGGTCAATCCAGACGCAGACATCTATTTGATCCCTCGTGCGACCTGACCCAGTCACTAGTCCGGCTGATCGTCCTACTTGTTCAGGATAATGCCATCATCTCGATCCCAGCCCACAATCACACGCAAGAATCGCGTCCAACCCCGCTCGTCTCTCTCTCGCGATCTGTCTCATGCTTGATCAATCTAGACGCGACCGCCCTTTGGTCCTTTCACGATTCCGTCCTTACCCGTGTGTCCAACCTCCTACACCAGCGTCCAACTCAATTCAGAGTTATTCAATCGCTCGACTCGATCAACCCCCGAACTCTCTTAAGCCTTGCGCTCAATTCGATCACTCAACACAACAACACACATTGTAGTTGCTTTCGCCCCCAGCCCATGCACATGTCCAATTCGTCATCACTCTCCAATTATATTACCCCATTTGCTTGACCCGTCGCCATTGTCATTGCTCTTCCTAGACTAAAAAGTAATTTTTTTTCTTGATTGCTTAAACAACAGGTATCAGAAGAACCCACGTTCGTCGTATTCTTAATCCGGCTAGGAGAAGAGTAAGAACTAAAAAGCCCCCACATTTATTGTATTTTTAATCCGACTGGGAATAACATGAATTATATGAAGACTCCGTGTTCATCATATCTTTGATCCGGCTTGTGCAAATGCCTACCTGACTCCTCCAATACGGGGGAGATGATGGGAGATTGCCAAAATTTTAAACGACAAATGAAACTCACATAATTAAATAAAAAAAGAATGAATGATAAAATCATATACATATAATTTATCGTTTTAATCAAATGAGAATATTTTCTTTCCAAATGAGTGCTCGTTACCCATGATTTTGGAGATTTAGATGGGGTGATTTATATAATGAGTTACAAAATATCATCCAGCATGCTAGAAAATTAAAACTAAACATGAAATTTTGTTTTGAGTTATAGTACTGGTAAAAAGTCATGTTAAATTGAATATTAATTCTAAGCTCATGGGGGATTTGAAGTTATTTAATTTTATAATAAATGGTTGCATATTTTTCTAAAAAGTTTCCCTTTTTGCACAAATCATCAAAATGAGATATTTTCAAATCATTCATACATCTCAAAAAGTAACTTTCAAATATAATATGCAAAGTTCATAATGCAAGAACAATATGCAAAGTGTATTATGCAATAATGATATAAAATGCATTTTGTAAGAATAAGGCACAAAATGCATTATGCAGGTTTATTATGCATGTACTTTAATGAATATAAAAAAAAGCATTATATAAAGTGTATCAAAAGTGCAAATGCAGCATGCACGTGTACTAAACGGTGTGTAAAATACATCATGCAAAAATGATGTGCAAGTGCATGGTCCAATTAATAAAAAATGCATTATGTAAATATGAATGTATTATGTACGTGTATTGATCAAAATGCAAGCGTATAATGCATATGCAAATGCAAATAGATTATGCAAGCGCAAAATGCATTATATACATGTATTGATAGTACAAAATGCATTATGTAGATATGTATGAGCATTAATTAACGTGTAAAATTTATTATTCAAATACACTGAAAAGTATTCCGCACGTGCTCCGATCTTTACGTCAAGTTCTTAAATATGAGATTTGAGAATGCTTCGTGGATTTACTAAAAGTGTTCAAACACCTTGATTATACCCGTGTTGACAAGAATTTTTAATCAAAAAGAGCTATTTAACTTTCTAAATGCCCTTAAAATTCTAAAGTGATTCATTAATTTAATTCCTACTAAGTGTTTAAATTCTTAAAATGAATTCCATCACAAAAAACTTAAAACTAAAATCCATCCACACTCCACAACTGTTTGGGGAGGATGATGAATCTAAGAATAATTTCAGCTCACAAATAACAAATATTATGTTGAATATATTATTATAATCCATTCTAAATTGATTTCTCGTAAGTAGGGGTGTGACACATGCACTCTAACCGGGTGATTTTGCTGCAAAATGACAACACTATATTACGATCACAGCCAAAGCTCGTATGTTCCTTAATGGTTAAAAGGCCATTGAGTAATGAATTATAGCGTGCGCTCGATAAAATATAAAACCCTATGTTAGTTAAAGTTAACTCGAATTCGTTCCCTTAGACAAACATCCAACCGGAGTCTACAAAATATCATTGGACGAAGCAAACCATGGCTGCTGACAATATTCCTTATGTCAGATTGGGTCAACTATCTCCTGTCCTCCTCTGGCTAAGTGGATTAGAGATCATGACAACTCAGGACGACGAAACCAATAGATCTTCATGCCCGTCATCATTCCCATATCACTCGCTTTAAGTGTATGACATTAGGGGTGTCAATTTTTGACCCGACCCGAACCCGACTCGGAAAAATCCGGGTTCGGGTCAACTCGAAACGGGTCGGGTTCGGGTTGAACAAATCAACCCGTTTTAAAAATCGGGTCGGGTTCGGGTTGACCTAGCAACCCGAAAGTGACACGAAAACTCATATTTGACCCAAAAACCCGAGATTGATTCGATTTTGACCCGAAAATCGAATATTGACCCTATTTTGACCCGAAAATTAGCAATTTTAGCTCAAATTCTGGTCATTCGTGTCGGGTTGACCCGAATCGGGTCGGGTTCGGGTCTAGAAATCTGACCCGTTTTTAAAAACGGGTCGGGTTCGGGTTGACCTGAACAATGTCGGGTCAGTTCCAGGTTCGACCCGAACCCGACCTGCTGACCCGAATTGACACCCCTATATGACATATATTTAAAAAGTCTAAAAATCCTTAAAATTCAAAATCTAAACTCAAAGCTATTGTTACTACACGTTGGGTACTTAGTGCATCTCCAACGACTAGCCTTATTCGAAAGTGTTCTCTAGTTACTGGGAGGGTTAATTAATCATAGGGGCTTATGCCTATGAGAAATCAAACCCTAGTTCATAGTCCCCGCAAAATAAGGACGAAATATCTGGATAATATCTTATCTAAAATCTAATAGGCCTTCTAAAAATTTACCTAGGAACAGAACTCGTTAAAACTCTCCCCGTTGGTATAAAAAGAAGCACGGAGAGACCGGGGTGCGAATTTTTGGATCCCACAATGTGCATGGGCATAACAATCCTTTTATTGGGATTCAAGTTGTTTGCTAGTTTTCCACTTTCATTTGTTCCTCTACCCCTAGCTTTGCTCAGTGGTTCATTTTATATGCAAACTCAGAAGGATTTATATGTATCTTATGCCATGTCTATAATAGTTATTTAGTTTTGGATTTTGATTGTTGTTAGATTTGATAATTCTAGTTAAGTTTTAGGTCCTCTATTTTAATCTCACGATGCTACCTAAAAGTCTTCAAGTCAAGGTTATGTTCTAGTCGTTCTAGTTACTTAAGATCTCTATATAAAAAAAATAGCATTGTTTATTATTTTTTCATGACATCATCTGCTTTTTACTATGTAAATCAATTTCTATCTTTTAATTGTATTTATTTCTAACAATTTCCATGGTGTTTATACCATGTCATGACGTGGATTATGTAAAGCAACATTTTAAACTTCAAACTTTTGACTAGGGTTGTAAACGAACCGAGCCAAGCCGAGCATCAATTTATCCATGTTCATGTTCATTTTTTATCAGCTTGTTCATGTTCGTTCGAGTTCGATCTGAGCTTTCATGTTCGTATTCAAGCTTGGTTCATTTAAGTTGACGGGTGTTCATACTTAGTTCATGTTCTATTTGTTTCTTTCTTATTGAGCTTTAAACGGATGAGCCTTATCAAGCTATAAACAAGCTCTACTTCTAAATATTCATTAGTTTAATGAACGAGCTTTATCGAGCATACTAACAAATATGTTTGCGAGCATTTCTAGCTATTGTTTCAAACTATCAAACAAGCTGTTCACGAATATGTTATTTTAATTATTTTGCTTCTTATCTAACAAGAATCAAGAATCCAGCTCGATAAAATCAAGCTTCTTATCGAGCTCCTAATGAACTTCTTATCGAGTATGTTCACGAGCTTTGGATAATGTTGTTCATGAACATAATGGGACAAACAAACAATTGTTGAAGCTTGTTTATTAAAGCATCGAGTATTTAATAAAATGTTTATGCTTGTTTGATTATTTAATTAAATGATCACGAGCAAGTTTTTATCGAGTCGAGCCTCGAGCAGCTTGTC